TAGTCCTCACAATCCTGGAAGCTGGAAGTCCAAGATCAAGGAGCCAGCAGAGCTGTTGTCTGGTGAGAACTCACCCCTTGGGCTGTAGACCACCACCTTCAAGCTGTGTCTTCACATGGCCTCTTCTTTGTGCATGGAGGGTAGGGGAAGGAGGAGAGAAAGGTGTGTCTTCTCAAAAGGATGCTAATCCTATTGGATCAGGGCCCCACCTTTATGACCTCATTTCACCTTAGTTACATCTTTAGAGGCCTTATCTCTACATGCCACATTGGGGGTTAGGGCTTCAACAAAAGAATTTGGCAGGTGCCACAAACGTATACTCCAACTGTTTTGTAGAATACCCCCCATTTTGAATTTGTCGTGTTTTCTTGTTGACTAGAATCCGATTATGCATTTGAGGCAGAAATCCCACAGGCCTGAGAAAGGGCCCATTCCAGTGCATCTTATTAGGAGATAAGACATATGATGTCTGTTTGTCTCATTACTATGATGCTAAATTTGATCACTTGGTTAAGGTGCTATCTGGAATGTTTCTTCACTGTAGAATTATTATTCCATTTGTAATTAATCAGTATTCTGTGGGGACCATCATTAACACTATGAATATATCCTTTTCCTCATCAAAACTTCATCCCTTACTTTTAACATGCATTGATGATTCTCACCTGAATCATTTATTGCTGTGATGTTTGTCAAATGGTGATTCTCTGACTTTGCCATGCTTTCAGTGTTTGTTTATTGGCATTCTTTTTATGAGGAAGAGCTTTCCCTTCTTCACATGTAATTGTTCATTTCTTTATATCAATATAGGTTCCAGAAATCCTATTTTTCAATGTGTTACAATCCATTATCATCAGCAAAACTTAAATTATTGTATATTTGCCAGTGGGAGCCCCTTCAAGCTGGCATCTGAGTTCTTAACCCGTCCCTATAATTCTTTCCTTGATTTCCGGCACAGCGAGATTTTTCAGTTTCATCTTGTACTTTCCCTGTTCCAGCTGTGGTTTCATGGAATGCTATTTCATCCTAGTAGAGAATAGTATTTAGATGCCAAGAGCTATACATGAAATGTCCATTTAAAAATATGTATGGCCAAACCTACTTATCCTCAGAGCCTGGTGTTTTAATATTAAGAATGATGCTGTGGGAAGAGCTCTGGACTTTACATCATGGAGCTTGACTGTGAGTTCTGATTCTGCCACTTAGTGGTAAATCATCTCACCTTTCTGGTCTTACATTTCTTCTTTAAATTGAGGAGATCAACTAGATTATTTCTGAGGCTCATTCCAGTTCTGAGATTGTCTGCCTGCACATGCTTCTCTTCTACCTCTTACCCAGGCCTGTTGGCTAAAGCCACTGGAACTGGCAGGGTTAAGGTTGGGAAATCAAAAAGGGATATCTGGACTATACATCCTAGCAAATAAAAGAGCAGAGAGAGGACAGGCCACTCTTTCTGTGCCCTGGTCCTTGATGCAGGTAGTGAGGACCCAGGTTGTGATCTGAGAGGCAGACTCTCAGCTGCATATAGCCCTTCCTTGGAATCTTGTGGTTGGGATAGATTCACCATCAGATCACGTCCCCCTCTCTTTTTGGCAAACTGTCTATCTAGACTTCTCAATGTTTTTATAATTTATTTCTTTCTCATACACTGTATTCATTTGCTCTGTGTCCAAGGAAGCCATTCCCTAAATTTCCTGGCTCTTAGAGGCCATAAAAAGATGTTTCCCAAAAGAAGAAATACATACACATGAAGCCAATAAACACAAGAAGATGTTCAGCCTTACTAGCTTTGCAGGAAAGAAATGAAAACTAAAGCAAGGAGAAATAGTTAACTGACAAATTGGCAAGTTAACCCCCAACTAGTGCTGGGCACTGTGTAAGCAGCATTTCATGCTCACATTACCTGCTGGAAGGGAGGTGGGTGGAAACAGCCTCTCATGAAAGCTGTCTAGCAAACTCTAGCAAAGCCTCAGGGCTTTGCATATCCTTTACCCAATTGTCATGTTCCCAGGAATTCATTCTAAGAAAATGCTTACAGATATGAGCAAAGCTATCCACATAGGATGTTCAGAGAGAAAAAGTTTTAAAACAACCTAAGTGCTCAAATATTTGTGAGTTGAATATCTCACTTATGATATATCCATATAGTAAAATACTATACAGCCATTAAAAATTATCATCACAGAAGATGATATGGAGAAATGTTCACAAATGGTGAAAACAAGTTGCAAACAGGTATGTAGCTTATAAGCCTATTTTTAAAAGGAAAAAAAATATAGATTCACAAAAATGAAGACTAGAAAGAGATTTAGCTACCTACTTATCTTGAAGAGGTTCAATGGCAGGTGATTTTTCTTTTTTCCTTTTTTTTTTTTGCTCACTTGTATTTTTATAATGGGCCTTCCCTATTGACTCAGTGGTAAAGAATCTGCCTGTCAATGCAGGAGATGCAAGTTTGATTGCTGGGTCAGTATGATCCCCTGGAGAACGAAATGGCAACCCACTCTAGTATTCTTGCCTGGGAAATCCCATGGAGAGAAGAGTCAGGTTGGCTACAGCCCATGGGGTCTCAAAAGAGTCAGACACAGCTTAGTGACTAAACAACGGCAACATTTTGATAATGAGCATATATTATTTGTAAGAAAAATGCTACTATAGGAAAAAACCACAACTCCATCTTCCTTTATCGCTATGGAGTGAGCACAGCGTGCCCTCAGCTTCTCTTGCTAAGTCAGAAAAGTAGCTGTCTTGGGGTCAAGTGTCTGGCTATGCACTGTTGTCAAGGGAATGTTTCAAACTGAAAGTGTTTCTAACCCACATGGAAACTGTGTGGAAGGGCAAGCCCTTTGAGCTTAGGCATTGACCGGGAGGGTTGGGTATCCTGGGTCTTCTCCTGGGTTTTCTTTACAACTCTGTCCTTGTTCTTACCGTTCTTCCTCTGCTTTACTCCCTTAGGCTGTGTACCTTCTACCTCCTCTTTTGCTATTCCAGCTATCTATTGCTATATCACATCCCAAGACGTGTGTTTGTGTGAAGTCACTTCAGTCATGTTGGGTTCCTTGCAACCCTATGGACTGCAGCCCGCCAGGCTCCTCTGTCCATGGGATTCCTCAGGCAAGAATACTGGAGTGGGCTGCCATACCCTCCTCCAGGGGAACTTCCCAACCCAAGGATTGAACCCTCATCTATTATGTCTCCTACACTGGCAGGCAGGTTCTTTATGACTAGTGCCACCTGGGTAGGCAGTCTTAGAGCAAGACTTAGTGGCGTAAAACAAGAAGTTATTAATTTCGCTCATGAACCTACAGCCTGTGCAGAGCTCAGTGGGGTCTGGTCCTCTGCTCCATACAGCATCAGCTGGGCTCAGCAGGTGTGGAGCATCCGCTGCCAGGGTGGCAGAGTTCTGCAGCTGACTGACTGCTGCTGTCGTCAGCTCATTTCCGTGGAGGCCTCTCTGTGGGGCCGCTTAGGCTTCCTCGTGAAACCATGGTTAAGCTATTAGTCTCCTGGGGCTGCCGTGGCAAAATACCACAGACTTGGTGGCTTCGGCCAAGAAAGTTTATTTTCCCACAGTTCTGGAGCCTAGAAGTCTAAGGTCAAGGTGCTGAAAGGGCTGGTTTTATTCCACGGCCTTGCTGGTTCCTGCCCGCTGTGTCCTCACAAGGTCTTTCTCTGTGTGTGGCCACTTCTCGTGTCTCCTCTTCTTATACGGACACCAGTATATTAGATGAGGCCCCCATTGTGATGGCCTCATTTTAACTTCTTCACCCCCTTCAAAGTTCATCTCTCCAAATGCAGGTATATTCTGAAGTACTTAGAACTCCAACAAATTAATCTAGGGGTGGGAGACACCTTTCAGCTCATAGCAAGTTCCAGGAGTGAGTACATAAGGGGAGACAGAGAGTAGGAGCTGCCAGTTCTTTAAGGCCTGGGCCCGAAAAGTGGTGCTGCCTCACCGCCTCCACGTTAGTTTAACCAACAGTCATAAACCCAGATTCAAAGAAAAGGGACATAGACTACCATCTCTGGATGGAAGGAGTATCAAAGTATTTTGGAGCTGTATTTTAAAACCACCAGCCTTGTTTTGAGAATAGTGCTGCTGTAAGCTGACCTGGAGCTAGAATCCACACCATTCAATATTCTCTTTGTCCTGGCAATGGATGAAAATGTGCTTCTTACTCCTTTAACAAAACCTGTTTGCAAAATCCTGCTGACCTCATTGGCTGTGCTAATATCCCAGCTACTAAAGAAGATGTTTGAATTGAGAACTAGAGGGTGTTATTTGAAAACTACCGGCGAGGGTGGGATGTTTCAAGAGAACAGCATTGAAACACGTATATTATCTAGGGTGAAACAGTTCACCAGCCCAGGTTGGGTGCATGAGACAAGTGCTCGGGCCTGGTGCACTGGGAAGACCCAGAGGGATTGGGTGGAGAGGGAGGTGGGAGGGGGGACCGGGATGGGGAATACATGTAAAAAAAAAAAAAAAAGATACACTGTGGTTGTGATTAAAAATAAATAAATAAATAAATAAATAAAAAATTAAAAAAAAAAAAAAAAGAAAACTACCACCACTGACCCACTTATGTCTGAATATGTAGGAGCTGGTCATTTATGGGCAGCTTCTTTATTCCATAACATTTTCCACTATTTACTATAAACTTAAATGTACTATAAATTTTACTGTTTTTTATGTATATTGTCTATTTCACCCAACCAGATAAATACCCTGCCACCAAAAACATATCTTTGTACTATAAACTTAAATGTACTGTAAATTTTACCTTTTTTTAAAAATGTATATTGTCTATTTCACCCAACCAGAAGAATACCCTGCCACCCAAATCAGATCTTACTTTTGTTCTCTGATGTATCACACATATTTAAAACCATGCCTGGCCCATAATCATCACTCTATAAATGTATATTAAATGGATAAAAGTACACATTGATTTTGTACCTTGTTGTCTAACTAGTGGGCCTGTTTTTCCTTCCTTCAGTACAAAAAGGCTCTCCATGAACTTGTGCACTGCATGGCTCTGACAAGGATCTGCTATGGTGATTCCCACTGGAAGCTGGCCGAGGCGCATGTTAACCTGGCTAAGGGTTATCTTCAGCTGAAAGGTGAGTCTGCCTCAGGCTGCGGAGGGTCAGCCAGTTGGTTTCTGCTTTTTTCCAAGACTTGGCTTAACTTTAGGAGGGTCAGGTTTTCTTATATGTTCTCTCCACACACTGAAAAGCCATTTCCTTTCACAGTCCGTACGATTTTCTAATATAATAGGTAAAAAAGAGAAGATTTTAGAATTGCAGAGCTTTATTTTTTATGATCTTAAAAACAGTTCTTAGGAGAAAATTGATTTGTTAGCTTTGAAGGCATTGTAGAAAGGGCCTAGGGTCTAGAGTCAGAGCCTAAAATATAATCCATTCATATATGTATTGATGGAAAATCTCTTGCCTGTGAGACCAAACCCCTCCCCCCAAAATAAAAGGCTAAATCAAGCTGGCAGTAACCAAAAGATAACTTGTTGATCCATAAAAATCCAAGGGTAGGTCTTACTGTAGACTTAGCCAGATCCACGTTTTCAAACAACACCATCAGATTTCTGTTCCTCTCTTTCTCCAACACTTGACTCTGCTTTCCTTTGTATAGGCTGCATCCTTAGTCCAACTTTGCCCACATGGTGGCAGCAAGGTTGCTGCCAGCAGCTTCAGGTTTCCTTCCTCAGCACTCCCAGGATAAAAAAGAACGCATCTTGCTCAGGGCTGGTGCACTGGGAAGACCCAGAGGGATAGGGAGGGAGGCGGAAGTGGGGATCGGGATGGGAAACACATGTAAATCCATGGCTGATTCATGTCAATGTATGGCAAAAGCCACTACAATATTGTAAAGTAATTAGCCTCCAACTAATAAAAATAAATGGAACAAAAAAAAAAGAATGCATCTTTACCAAAATCTCACAGTTTGGGATTTTTATTGGGCTGACTTGGGTTGTATGCCAAAGACAAGAACTAGTCCAAGGAAATGGCAACCCCCACCCCAGTACTCTTGCCTGGAGAATCCTGTGGGCAGAGGAGCCTGGTGGGCTGAAGTCCATGGGCTTGCCAAAAGTCAGACATGACCTAGCAATTGAACATACACAGGTGGTCTGATTGGTAAGACCTGACTTTGCTTCTGTTGGATCCTGGGGCAGAGGCTGGCCTTGGCTAAATCACATGGACTGAGTGTGTAGGGGCATCCTCAAAAGAAAACAGGGCAAGGGAGAATGGATGCAGAGAAGGCACAACCATAAACTGGCAACCTTGGACAAGATGTACAAGAGCACGTCTCTGTACTCTGTCCCTTCAACAAAAAGAGATGATATTGATAACGATGCTGCTATCTTCCCAGCATCACTGATTGGCCCAATGAATGAATAAATGAATTGAAGTGAAAAACACCACAATGCTATGCATACAACTGCCACCCAATAAATTTAGCCGAACCTGACTATAGACTGGTCCTACCTGTTAGATCAAAGACTATTAGAGCCAGAGGGGACCTTGGAGATCATCTAGTTCAAACCACACCCCTATGCCCCCTGTTTTCCAGATTCAGAGGAAACAACTAGTTTGATTTGAAACAGGCTGCCCCAGGTCAGACTGTTAATAGATAGCTGCTCCGAGACTCAGATCTAGGATTTTGGTGGCCAGTGCCAATGTCCTGGCATCTAGGATTTTAAATGATGTTTTCTCACAACATTCTGCTACCTTTCTGCATTATGGACTTTTTTTTACTCAAATTAAAATAAAAGCAGTATCTACTAATTACTGAGGTCTCATTGAGTGCCAGGGACTATGCTATTTTCCACATATAATTTCCCTTAGACATCACCAGGTGGCGCTAATGGTAAAGAACCTGAATGCCAGTGCAGGAGACTTAAAAGGCGTGGGTTCAATCTCTGGATCCGGAAGATCCCCTGGAGGAGGGCATGGCAATCCACTCCAGTATTCTTGCTTAGAATCCCACAGACAGAGGAGCCTGATGGGCTACAGTCCATGGGGTCGCAAAGAGTCAGACACAACTGAAGTGAGTTAACACACGCGCGCACACACACACACACACACACACACACACACTTCACTACTGTGCTATGAGGCAGGTAATGTTATTATCTCTGTCTACAGTCCAGAAAGATAAGGCCAAAATTTCTGGGTAAGTGATGGAGCAGGAAATCCTTTCTGGGCAGTGTGATTTCAGAACTAGTGTTCTTGAACCTCAACCCATGCTGCTTCCAGTAGGCTGGGTTCAAGTTCCTTGAAGAAATAGACAAGTGGTTGTCTGAGGAGGCCTTAAAAATAGCTGAGAAAAGTAGAGAAGCTAAAAGCAAAGGAGAAAAGGAACTATAAACCCATTTGAACGCAGAATTCCAAAGAAGAGCAAGGAGATAAGAAAGCCTTCCTCAGTGATCAATGCAAAGAAATAGAGGAAAACTATAGAATGGGAAAGACTTGAGATCTCTTCAAGAAAATTAGAAATACCAAGGGAATATTTCATGCCAAGATGAGCACAATAAAGGACAGAAATGGTATGGACCTAACAGAAGCAGAAGGTATTAAGAAGAGGTGGCAAGAATACACAGAACTATACAAAAAAGATCTTCATAACACAGATAACCATGATGGTGTGATCACTCACCTGGAGCCAGACATCCTGGAATGCAAAGTCTAGTGAGTCTTAGGAAGCATCACTATGAACAAAGCTAGTGATGGAATTCCAGTTGAGCTATTTCAAATCCTAAAAGATGATGCTGTTAAGTGCTGCACCCAATATGCCAGCAAATTTGGAAAACTCATCAGTGGCCACAGGACTGGAAAAGGTCAGTTTTCATTCCAATCCCAAAGAAAGGCAATGCCAAAGAATGCTCAAACTACTGCACAATTGTACTCATCTCACACGTTAGCAAAGCAATACTCAAAATTCCCCAAGTGAGGCTTCAAGAGTATATGAACCGTGAACTTCCAGATGTTCAAGCTGGATTTAGAAAAGGCAGAGGAACCGGAGATCAAATTGCCAACATCCATTGGATCATCAAAAAAGCAAGAGTTCCAAAAAAACATCTACTTCTGCTTTATTGACTGTGCCAAAGCCTTTGACTGTGTGGATCACAACAAACTGTGGAAAATTCTTCAAGAGATGGAAATACCAGACCACCTTACCTGCCTCCTGAGAAATGTGTATGCAGGTCAAGAAGCAACAGTTAGAACTGGACATGGAACAACAGACTGGTTCCAAGTCGAGAAAGGCATACGTCAAGGCTATATATTGTCACCTGCTTATTTAACTTATATTCAAAGTACATCATGCTAAATGCTGGGCTGGATGAAGCACAAGCTGGAATCAAGATTGCCAGGAGAAATATCAATAACCTCAGATACACAGATGACACCACCCTTATGGCAGAAAGCGAAGAGGAACTAAAGAGCCTCTTGATGAAAGTGAAAGAGGAGAGTGAAAAAATTGGTTTAAAACTCAGCATTCAGAAAACTAAGATCATGGCATCCGGTCCCATCACTTCATGGCAAATAGATGGGGAAACAATGGAAACAGTGACAGACTTTATATTTGGGGGCTCCAAAATCACTGCAGATGGTGACTGCAGCCATGAAATTAAAAGACGCTTGCTTCTTGGAAGAAAAGTTATGACCAACCTAGACAGCATATTAAAAAGCAGAGACATTACTTTGCCGACAAAGATCCATCTAGTCAAAGCTATGGTTTTTCCGATAGTCATGTATGGATGTGAGAGTTGGATCATAAAGAAAGCTTAGCAACGAAGAATGGATGCTTTTGAACTGTTGTACTGGAGAAGTCTCTTGAGAGTCCTTTGGACTGCAAGGAGATCCAACCAGTCCATCCTAAAGGAGATCAGTCCTTGGTGTTCATTGGAAGGACTGATGCTGAAGCTGAAACTCCAATACTTGGCCACCTGATGCGAAGAACTGACTCATTTGAAAAGACCCTGATGCTGGGAAAGATTGAAGGTGGGCAGAGAAGGGGATGACAGAGGATAAGACAGTTGGATGGCATCACCAACTCGATGGATGTGAGTTTGAGTAAGCTCCGGGAATTGGTGATGGACAGGGAGTCCTGGGGTGCTGCAGTCCATCTCTTTGCAGAGTCAGACATGACTGAGTGACTGAACTGAACTGAACTGATCATGTCTTTTATAATATTGTATATGTTATTGGCACTAATAAATTTCTGGTAGGTTGATTATGTGCTTTTTTTTTTAAAAAAAAAAAGACAAAATTCTGTAAGTGCTCCTACAAAAATAGCATACCCTGGATTTTTTTTTTTTGCCTTTATTTATTTTTTATTTCTTGTTTTTTTTTTTAATTTTTTAATTGAAGGATAATTACTTTACACAATTTTGTATTTTTCTGCCATACATCAACAGGAATCAGCCATAGGTACACCCATGTCCCCTCCCTCCCAGGCCTCCCTCCCATCTCCCTCCCCCTCCCACCCTTCAGCTTGTCACGGAGCCCCTGTTTGAGTTCCCTGATTGATGCAGCAAATGCATACCCTGGAGGATTTTCTCCATCAGGAAATCTATTCTGTTTTATAGACATAGGAACAGAATGAACTTCACATTTTGACAGCTTTTTTTTTTTTTAGAGAGAGATTGAAGATACAATTCCATGTAACGAAGAATGTAAGACCAGGAATATTGGGATATGAGTGTAGGGGTGTGTTGTTGTAGAGAAGAAGGTGAGGGTATGGGAAAGCGAAAAGTCCTGATACCCCTAATATCACCGTTTCCACAGATGACTGCCAGTGGAAGGACACTAGAACCCTCTGGGAGTTAGTTCTTGGTAGTAACTGGTTTTTAAACTCCATTTCTTTACCACATAGAAATAAGAGATTTAGCACATTAGCAGCCCGTTATCTCATTGGAATTATTTGTCAGTCTTGGTAGATATCATCACATGTGTATTATGTTAAAGCAACTTTAAAATTATGATTATGGATGGGTGAGCAGAAGATTCAGAATTTTTAGTATTCCATTAAGATTGGTGTCACAAAGCCAGGATTAACATTTATGAAAATTTTATTTCCTTCCCAGAATGCTGTAGTCTTTGTAAATTCCTTTTGTTTTTTATAATTATTTATAACATTTTATATCTGATATTGGTGAAGTTTCAGAGCTGTTCAGTTTCTGCTTATCCTGTTGATTTTCAAAAAGAACATTTGGGGGGAAAATGTTTGTCTTGAATACTTCCAGTGATCGTTTCTTCCAGTGATGATGGTTTGCACACTGCCCTGATACCTCTCTATGTGCCCCTGGAAGATATGTGAAGTTACCACACTAGATTCCCTGGCCAGAATCAACTATATTCCTGTCCAACTGAAGTGAAAGAGAAACTGAGACTTCCTTTTTTTTTCCCCCCACAGGAATGTCACTACAAGCAAAACAACATGCAGAAAAAGCCAAAGAAATCCTCACCAGCTCCATTGTGCCTCCATACAATGACAATACAGATGTTTTCAAGTGTTCGGTTGAGCTGTTCTATACCTTGGGGCAAGCCTTACTCTCCCTTCAAAAGTATCCTTTTGCCTCTAATCTTTACAGGTAGAAATACCATTCATAATGCTTGCATTTAATTTCTAAGGCCAAATCAAAAGTTGACAGGTGGCTCAGGAAGGGTGATGGGCAGTATGAGAGCCGAGAGTGTGCAGGAGCCGGGGCCCCGCCCCAGGATGCAGCACCAGATGGAAAGTTTTCTGAACACAACTCAGGTTCAAGGAAGCCTCAAAGACTGTGACAAAGGCAGAGATGCTCTCAAAGGAGATGCTCCAGTGTGGGAAGATCAAAGAAGATGAATGGATGGAAATTCAAGCACGGATCAAATTGTCATTTGCGCAGTAAGTTTCCAGTTTAGGACCTCCTGTACACGTGATTGCTGGAGGTTCTTTGCCAGAAGATGCTGTCTTCAGACAGGAGGATCTTCTCCACGACACTGCCGTGGCTCCTCCACAGCCATTTTCCAGCAGTAAACGGGGGGAGATCACAGTGTCAGAGCAGCCACGACCAAGGCTTACACCCACCCACGTGGTGCTCGTCACTATGTGTGTGGCGCTCCCACACCCGCCTGGCTCCTAGAGCCCTGCTGTCATCCTCTTGGTTTCTGTTTCTTGCCTGCTCTCCCCGCCCTGCTCCTCAGGCTCCTGTTCCCTCCCCTTCCCCTAGCCCCGTTTTCCTTCCCTCCCCCACCATTCTAATCTAAGTTGTTTCAGTGTGTTGATTTTATGATTAGGGCCTCAAAGGAGAAAATCTTTGAGATATCTGAATCCATGAGAATGAGAGGATTGTTTCCTGTTCTCCCTAACCCCACCCCACACTCACCAAGTAAACCCCGGTAGAAGAGAGAAAATGCTTGGAGCCTGGGGAAGGAGCCTTGGGTAGGCAGCTCATCTATCACTCTCCAAAGACCAACCCCAAGCCAATCCTCAGAGCAGTGGGGTGACAGCATTTGCACACTCTGAAAGGGTGTGTTTGTGGGAAGAAGAGGGCAGAGAAAGGTCTGTTCTAGAAGAAGCACAGAATCCCTAGCAGACCTACGTGGGGATGCTTAACCCAAGCTGGAAGTCACTGTAACTGAATAATCAGACTGCTTGATTCCCAAGAGAACTCAGGGACCCAGTGGACTCACTTTTTTTTTCCCCCACTTATTTTTATTAGTTGGAGGCTAGTTACTTTACAGTATTGTAGTGGGTTTTGCCATACATTGACATGAATCAGCCATGGGTGTACATGTGTTCCCCATCCTGAACCCCCCTCCCACCTCCCTCCCCATCCCATCCCTCTGGGTCTTCCCAGTGTACCAGCCCTGAGCACTTGTCTCATGCATCCAACCTGGACTGGCTATCTGTTTCACACTTAATAATATACATGTTTCAATACTATTCTCTCAGATCATCCCACCCTCGCCTTCTCCCATAGAGTCCAAAATTCTGTTCTATCATCTGTGTCTCTTTTTCTGTCTTGCATATAGGGTTCAGTATACTAATGCATATATATGGAATTTAGAACGATAGTAACAATAACCCTATATGGACTCACTTTTAAGAAGGAAAGGGCCCTGAAAGAGCACACCTACTGCTTCCATATGAATGGAAGCTGGAAGGACTAAATTTGACTTGTGCTTTTAAAGACATTTTTGTGATCATAAGTCTACTACTCTTGTTCATTTATTTGGGAGTGTTTTTGGATACAGAGAATTCATCAGTACATGTGAACTTTTGGTATCCTTTTTTAAACTGAGTTTTTTCCTTCCATTATTCTCATTCTGCTCCTTATTCTGTCTCATACGTATCTTAGATACCTTTTTTTTTTTTCAAGATTTTTTTGATGTGGACCGTTTTTAAAGTCTTTGTTGAATTTGTTACAATATTGCTTTCTGTTTTATGTTTTAGTTTTTTGATCTGAAGGCATGTGGGATTTTAGGTCCCCTCCCAGGGATCAAACCCTGACCCCCTGCATTGGAAGGTGGTATATTAACCACTGGACCACCAGGGAAGTCCCTCATAAACACCTCTTAAAAGATGACCTATGTCTTTAAATCTGCGTCTCTGAATAATAAGTAGTATTGTTTTCTGTATTTATACATTTTAGGTTTGTGTAAACTTGTGTGTGTTTCACTGTTTCTCACTTTTATCCACCTGGCGCTGCTTTCAGCTGCTGCCTGTTCAGAGCTGCGGCCTGCTCTGCCATGCTCCATAGGATGTGCCTGCTCTCCTGTGCGTGTCCGTCCTGCTAGCAGTGGTATTCAGCTCGTCCCCAGCTCCCGCAGTGGTGCTGCCATGAATATCCTTGTGCAGCTCCACTTAGGCGTCTCAGGGGGACTTTTCTGAGGCTTATGCTCCAGGGATAGGATTGCGTGGTCACAGGGAACACTCGTACTTCACAGTCACCACACTCACCAATTGCTGCACCCATCTGCACTCCCACTTGCAGGGCACACGGGTTCCTGTTTTCTCATATCCCCGACAATCTTTGGCATAGTTGGTCTTTCTAACCTTTGTCACTGTGATGCATATAAAAGTGAAAGTCACTCAGTCATGTCCAACTCTTTGCAACCCCATGGACTATACACTCCATGGAATTCTCCAGGCCAGAATACTGGAATGGGTAGTGTTTCCTTTCTCCAGGGGATCTTCCCAACCCAGGAATCGAACCCAGGTCTCCCACATTGCAGGCAGGTTCTTTACCAGCACTTGTTAATTCTATTTATGTATCTCTTATTAGTGAGTTTGAGTACCTCTTCACATACAGTTTAGCCATTTGGGTTCCCCTCCTATGAACAGCCTGTTAGCATTCTTTCTGGTTTTTCTTTTGGGACTTCATGTACTTTTTAATTGATAACTGAGATTTTCTTGTGTATTATAAATTAGTAATACTACAAACATTTTCTTGTATCTATTGCTTATTTATTAATTTTGTCTATGATGTTCTTTATGGTGTGAAACTTAAGTTTTCTAGAGTCAAATCCATTAATTTTTAACCTGATTTATGCTTGAAGGTTTATTTAGAAAATCTTTCCCACCAAAATATCAAAGATATTCTCCAAAATGTCTCTGTAAGTCTTGCTTTAACCTATCCCACATGTTTTAACATGAAACACTATCTCTCACATCAAGTCTTAATAAGTCCATAACTTAAGCTATAATTAGTCTTTAATCCAAGGATTATTAAAATGATGTGTGTTCTAGTTTGCAGATATATGGGTTTTTTCCCCAAGATATTCTGGTGTTATTGATTTCTAATTTTACTGCATTGTGGGCAGAAACATATTTGTATAGGCTCAACTCTTTGAAATTTACTGAAGCTTCTTTGTGACCTAGTCCATAGTCAATTTTTGTGAATGTTCCAAGTATGCTACAAAAGGAAGCTGTATTCTTTACTTGTTGTGTTTAAGGTTCTAATAACTCCATATTATGGTAACTTTATTAATTCTGTTACTCAAATTTATATTTTTTTATCTTTTGCCAATTTGACACATTAGTTCTTTAAGTGTTGTTAAATTTTGAACTATAATTATTGATCCATCTATAGCTTTCCATGGTTCTGCCAGTCATTGTTTTATATATTCTAATATATTCTGTTGGGTGGGAGGAGAGTTAAACACCCTATCTTCTTAATCTGTTATTTTATTTGTCAGTATATATCGCTCTTCTTTGTTCCCTATCTATTTTGGCTGATATTAAAATTGACACTCTATCTTTCAGGTATCAATTTTCCTATATTATCTTTTTCTATCTCTTAATTTTCAGTCTTCATATTTTTTGTTTAATTATTGATATATTTGAGTTTTTAAATTTCCTTTTGCCTACCAGTTTTATGTTCCTTTCTTTTTCCTTTCTTGCCTTCTTTAGTTTAGTCAAATATTTTTGTCATTCCACTTCCCTATCTATTAACTGGTGAGTTATACATTATATTATTTTTTTCTTCTAGAGATTACCATAGAATTTTTTTGCTTGTATCCCTGGTATATTACACTCTAATATAATTAGTCAATTAAACACTTTCTAGATAATATAAGAAACTTCAGTTCAGTTCAGTCGCTCAGTCGTGTCCAACTCTTTACAACCCCATGGATTGCATCACGTCAGGCTTCCCTGTCCATCACCAATTCCCAGAGCTTGCTCAAACTCATGTCCATTGAGTCAGTGATGCCGTCCAACCAGCTCATTCTCTGTTGTCCCCTTCTCTTCCTGCCTTCAATCTTTCATAGCATCAGGGTCTTTTCTAATGAGTTGGCTCTGATCACATCAGGTGGCCGAAGTATTGGAGCTTCAACTTCAGCATCAGTCCTTTCAGTGAATATTCAGGACTGATTTCCTTTAGGTTGGACTGGTTGGATCTCCTTGCAGTCCAAGGCACTCTCAAGAGTCCTCTCCAACACTACAGCTCAAAAGCATCAATTGTTTGGCCCTCAGCTTTCTTTATAGTCCAACCCTCACATCCATACCTGACTATTGGAAAAATCACAACTTTGACTATACAAACCTTTGTCAGTAAAGTAATGTCTCTGCTTTTTAATATGCTCTCTAGGTTGGTCACAGTTTTTCTTCCAAGGAGCAAGCTTCTTTTAATTTCGTGGCTGCAGTCACCATCTGCAGTGACTTTGGAGCCTGAGAAAATAAAGTCTGTCACTGTTTCCATTGTTTCCCCATCTATTTGCCATGAATGGTATGGGACCCATTCATGTGAGTGATGGGACTGGATGCCATGATCTTCGTTTTTTGAATGTTGAGTTTTAAGCCAGCTTTTTCACTCTCCTCTTTTATGTTCATCAAGAGGCTCTTTAGTTTCTCTTCACTTTCTTTCATAAGGGTTGTGTCATCTGTGTATCTGAGGTTATTGATATTTCTCCTGGCAATCTTGATTCCAGCTTGTACTTCATCCAGTCAGGCATTTCCCATGATATACTCAGCATATAAGTTAAATAAGCAGGTGACAATATACAGCCTTGACTTACTTCTTTCCCAATTTGGATCCAGTCTGTATTCCATGTCCAGTTCTAACTATTGCTTCTTGACCAGCATGCAGATTTCTCAGGAGGCAGGTAAGTTGGTCTGATATTCCCATCTCTTTAAGAATTTTCCACAGTTTGTTGTGGTCCACACCGTCAAAGGCTTTAGCATAGTCAGTGAAGGAGAAGTAAATGTTTTTCTGGAATTCTCTTGCTTTTTCTACGATCCAGTGGATGTTGGCAATTTGATCTGTGGTTCCTCTGCCTTTTCTAAATCCTGCCTGAATATCTGAAAGTTCTCGATTCACATACTGTTGAAGCCTAGCTTGGAGAATTTTGAGCATCACTTTGCTAGTGTGTGAGATGAGTGCAAATGTGCGGTAGTTTGAG